CCTCACACACACACACACACACAACGCGTTACTCTGTGTTGCGCAAAACTCCGCATTTGAACAGTCAATAGCAAATACTTAAACTAATAACAAAACATACTTACAGTCGCTGATTCAGAAGCGCCAGATTGTCATAGCAAAGTCGGAATTTTATTTTATTTTTTAGAAATAGCCTTTGTGCGCAGCCAGCCTTGTACTCTTCTAGGTTAAAAAAACTGTCGTCCATAAAATGCGTTGCACAAATTCGAACATCTGGGTTGTGCTGTTCTGTTGTAAATAAATCTTAACCAATGATTCCTAATTGCATCTACTTCCGGAAGGCCAAATAAAGTGTTTTTGCTTTCGCACTGAAACACACAGCGTCTCGCTGACATGGCTGCATCAACACTACTGCTGTTCCTGAAACCACGCCTTGTTTCTTTGCGTGCACATTTGGGTGGCATTATGCTAATATTTCCACATGATGACGTAGATATGTGGGGGCGTGTTAGAACAAGCCGTTTTAAGTAGGTGTGGTTGACTCTTAACTTTTATAAAGAATATCTCTTTGGATTTGAGACTTTAATCTTTGCAACTTTACAGATCTTCTTTATGCACCAAGAGCTTGTAACACTCCAAAGAGAAAGGAAAACTTGAAATCGCATCATATGACCCCTTTAAGTGTGCCGCCCGTCCAACAGGTGGTACAGGCGGTTGCCTAGGGCCCCGCCTTAAGGGGAGGGCCCCGCGGCCGCAAGGTTGTCACTTAAAGTCCCCCTGTGGTCAAATATTTTATCTCTTAAAACTTATCTTTGATCATCAAAATTACATAATTAAATGTTTTTTCTTGTGAAAGTAATTTTCTCATGCCTTAAAATAGCTTGAATGTAACATTTACTATACGCGGAGCTATGAATATGCAAATTAGTCCGCCTCCACTCAGTCACACACCAGCCTGCGCCTCCTGATCCACTGAACTGTAGTAAATGCAAAACAATGGCATACACGGATAATGACTGATAAAACTATGTTTTTACTAGCGGACAACGACATTGAATACTGTAACATTCGTTAAAGTTACTTACTTGACGATGTTGTGTCCTAAAACGCCTTGAAGACTCGAATGCTGCCGTTTGAGATTGTTAATTCGCACCCGCGAGCATACATACACGTGTGACGTGCAGACGCCGATGCGGGAGAGGTGGGTCTGACTCCGGGCTACTTTTACACTGTTACCACGGGTTATAATGCAAGTTAGCGGTTCTAAATTTACATTAAACCACAGCTTCATGAGTTTTTTGCTCTAATTCATTTTTGGTTTTGTGCTGGTATTGGTATATTTTGCATGCTAGTGATAGGAATCTATCCCTTGACGTGATTGGTTATTGGATTGTGACGTAGCAAACCGAGGGCTGTTTCAAACCGCATTTCTGGGTCAGCCTTTGGGAAACTACAGTTTTAAGGAGAAAATACTCAGCAATGGTGTTGATTAATGGATTTGCACATGGTTTGTCTAAAAGCATATTAACACTACATAGACAAATACACAACATAAAAAACTTTTTCACTACAGTGGGACTTTAAATTTAGTTAGGCTTGTTCGAGATGCATCTGCGCTGCGCAGACCGATCGGTGTTTGACATCAAAGAGAACCCTATAGCTGATGACTCTTATGCTTTTGAATCGCTCTCGTGCCTACTTTGATCAGAGATCGGTCTGCACAGTGCTGCTTCAAGCCGAACACGCCTTCTGACTACATACAGGCCACGTTCACACAGCAGCAGAATACGGTTGTCAGTCCTGTATTTGAGTTCTTAATACGGTTACGTTTACACACAGTACGGTTGTTTATGGGCATGACAACTGCATTCTGTAACCGAACTCCCTGCAGAAGTGAAGCCCTCCCTCCCTTTCCAGTCGTTTGTCTTGGTGTGGAGCTGAGTGGTGATGAACAAAAGACTAAGCTACCTGTGCCTCAAATTTACAGCTTATTATCCAAAAGACAAATATAGTTAATTTGTCTTGCTAACATCCATGACTCATGAGAGAGCTACCATGTAAAATAGGTAAATAGCTAAGGGAAATAGGTCTAGTAGGTTATACCAGTGAGCGTTTTTTCACTGCATGATTCAGTTTATTAAAATGCATTTAGAATGATCACAAAATTCAAGATATGGGGGCAGAAATGTATATATTTATATAATTTCATATAATGAATCAGTATCACGCGAAGACTGACGTGTTTTCCACCAAAAAGCAGCGTGATTACAAATGTGATATTGATTTTATACAGCAGTTCAATAAACAAGAATTTCATATTAAGACACTTACGTTTTAGACACAATATAGCCTGTTTTTGCTCTATTTCGCCAACAAATATAATTCCAATTGATAACTTGACTCACTTATTAACAGTGACTTGCTGCCACCTACTGGCAGCTTTAATTTCACATTTAATGTATCTTTTAATATTTTTTAAATAATTTCAAATATCAGTATTCAACGTTTTATGTTTAAAATATCAAAACCGTGTTTATGCATTTGTAACTGCAGGTTAAATGCCTTCATGTCCTGCATTAAACAGTGTGTAAATGCATCTAAATGACACTTCAGATGCAGCTTCTGTGTTTTCTCTGCATTGCAAAGATTAATTTAGTCAATACTGATTTAATTTGCTTGGTAACAGCCCAAATGACTTATTATTCTAATTGACTGATTCAAATTAAGAATTTGACTGAAAACATGATTTTGGAAAAAATGGCTTTATAAAGGTAAAATGCCCATAAAAGGTAAAAAAATGTATTTAAACTTGTTGGAAAAGATAAATTTCTATCACTGCTGTGAACTGATCACCACACAGAATATGAAGAATATCACAAACTTTAGGAGTTAGTTGTGCACGGTAGTCCTTAAGATACCAGCACAATAACACACTCAGCAAAATATTGTCTAATTGTCGTTATCGGTAAAATCCCAGAAAATATTGAGAAATATATTTTTTGTCAATATCACACACCCCTCAGTCACTCTTGAGACGTGGGACAAAACAGATCCAGCAAGGGTAACTGCTATTAGGTTTAAAAATAAAAATATTTTCAATTTTAAATGTCACGAGGGATTAATAATAGAATGTATTTAACACAATTATCACCTTCAATTTAATTTTCTCATTATTATACCAAATCTATGTTTCTTAATGTCCTCTCACTACATCTAAAACTGTGTGTCCACAGAGAAGGGTTCAATCATTCATATGCAATAAAATGGATTAAAATGTTTTTTTAATGATGAAAAATATCTTGTTTTATCAAAAGCAACACTTAATAATCATCAGATGTGTCAACTCCGTCAGTTGTGTCACCTCCGTCAGTTGTGTCAACTCCATCAGTTGTCTCACCTCCGTCAGTTGTGTCAACTCCATCAGTTGTCTCACCTTCGTCAGATGTGTCAACTCCATCAGTTGTGTCACCTCCGTCAGATGTGTCAACTCCATCAGATGTGTCACCTCCGTCAGTTGTGGCACCTCCGTCAGATGTGTTAACTCCGTCAGTTGAATATTTTGATAATGTTTCATTATGATATTTTATATTTGTTGTGGAATTGTCGGTCACATGTGAAAGTGTAATGTGTCTGCTAACACCAGAATGTGTTTTGAAATGTTAAAAACATCTTGAATGCTGTTAAAGATAAAGCTGAAATTATATTACACAGTCCAAGGTAAAAAAGCACATTTTGTTAAAAAAGAGAAAAGTTGGGAGGTTGTGTCAAAGCATAGCTCAGTAGCTTAGTACATATAAGATACATAAATGTAGTTTCATTTGTCTGAGTACAGGGTTTTATTTCTACAATCTTGCACCCTGTTTTGCCCACTTCTCAAGAATGACTGCCCTAATATATTTAATGTTTTGTTTAGAAATTAAATTAAAATAAATATAGGTTAAGTGCCCTTTTTCCACTTGCGTCCCTGCCATGTTTTTGTTCCAAATGTATTTCACGGCGGTAAAGTTAGTCTGACATTCATTAGACATTCGGGTTGTTTGCCAATTAAACTCTTTGCAGCTTTTATGTTTTGAGCCCAAACTATAGACATAAATATATGCCCTTAATGTTGCACAAGGCTTAATTTCTAGGAATTAAAAAAAAAAAAAAACATTTAAATTAATTAAACAATTTAACTACGTGACATTATGATATAAAACCAATACTAAAATGTTCGTATATTTTATATTTATATTTAATATTTTTCATATGTTTTATATACTGTATCCACTTAAATGAATTAAACTCTGACACCGTTTTAAGGGCTTTTGCATCTCTACTTTTCATATGCTTTCAATAGATAAATTAGCCCTGACAGTTGTTTTGATACATTTATCTCAAACGGTGTCAGAGTTTAATTCATTTAAGTGGATACAGTATATAAAACATATGAAAAATATGGTTTCAGTGCTGTATATAAAAACAATAAAGGCATAATCTGAAAAACCAAGACTTGTGCATTAAAGGGAATAATATTCTGAATATTTTACAGTTGGTTTCATACATTTAGATTAAATGGTGTTGTCGTTTAATGGATTTATATGATTGCATACATTAAAAATAGTAAAATTATTATAAAAAACATAAAATTGTAATTCCAAAAACGGAGCTTTGTGCGATAACAGGTATGTTTTCCCGAACATTTTAGTATTGGTTTTATATCATAATGTCACGTAGTTAAATTGTTTAATTAATTTAAATGGTTATATATTTTTTTTAATTCCTAGAAATTAAGCCTTGTGCAACATTAAGGGCATATATTTATGTCTATCGGAGTTAGTTTGGGCTCAAAACATAAAAGCTGCAAAGAGTTTAATTGGCAAACAACCCGAATGTCTAATGAATGTCAAACTAACATGTGTTGATTTCCTAACACAGACGAGTGTTAAACACCGTCCTCTGGTTTGTCGCGGTCCACCGCAGATACTCCTCTGGAGTCAAAATAGACCCCAGCGTCATGACGCTCGGTTGTGCGTGATGCCGTCATCGGCGCGCGTCCCGCCGGATGGAGCGGTTCTGGACGAACGGGATGGTTGTGTACGGTGTCATACAGCAGTGTTTTAAAGTGTCCCGTTTCACCGTAAAATCGGACAAGTGCAAGAAACAGGCGAGGGGCGTGAGTGAGTAACGCGGGGAGTTAGTTGACATAGCGTGTGGGTAAGTGAGTAGTCCGTTTATGTAGACCGAAGGTAGAAAGTTCAGCTAGCTAACAGGCTAACCTAAGCAGAAAAGAATAAAGTAAATCAAAGTCAAACTTAAGCAAAATAACGATCACTACCATAATCCTGAGGACACTTCTTAACTTCATTCTGTACTATATGAAGTGTCATGAAGTTTTTGTAAGGTTTTCAGTTCTGCCAAATTATCAACTTATTGTAAACCTTCAAACCAATGTGTGTTGGGGCAACTTTAACAGTAAGTTTAATGAACTCCTGAAGGTTCTTGCTGTCTTCTTGGTTCATGGTGCAGTGTGGTGTCATTGCCACAAAGACCTGTAGAACAGTAGCAGCACATGAGTCAAGTGGGCCAGTTTTGTTTATGCTAGCTAGGAAAGCTGTGCTGGATAAAAGCAAGACCGCATTAAAGCTGGAGGGGAGCCTGCCAGGAATTCAAGAAGGGTTTTCACTATTAAATTAAAGCTTTTTAGTGTGCACTACATAGCTAAGAAACATCAATGAGAGAAATGACAGCCACTATGGATGTCCAGCTTGTGTTTAAACATTTTAAAACGTGTCCTTGTGCTGTCTTTGCGCCTGTTGATGTCTGTTGGCCGTGCCATTAATGACTAGTTTACCAGCTGTGCAAACAACCCACCTATTACTCAGTGTTGCTAATATGTAGTTTTGCACATCCCTGCTAAAGTAATGTCTGTTTGCCACATGAATTTTCATAATATGACAATAAACTGTTAAGATTTACAATATTACATTTACAAGATGATGCCCCTACGTTTTTTTCTGTAAAAATCGACTTACACCGCTTGCATGTTGGAGAATCTTATCTCAGTTTTTCTTTCATTGTTTTGCAGTGGTTGAGACTCCTGCTCTTTCACGTCTTGCTGCTGTCATCTATAATAATGGAGGAGCCTCATGTTCACTGCGTGTCCTGCATAAGCAGAAGATGCATGGTCAAACCTGAACCCGGCACTTCCTGTGACCTCATCAGCTGCCCTCTTGTGTGTGGTGCCGTCTTCCACAGCTGCAAGGCTATTGAACACAAGCTGCTGTGCCCGCTTGAAAGGGTGCCATGTCTTAACCAAAGCATTGGATGCCCTTTTACACTGGCCCGTGGCCAGATGGCAGAGCACCTTGAGGTGTGTCCTGCAGGTGTGGTGTGCTGCACTATGGAGTGGAATAGGTGGCCAGTAAACGACGAAGCTTATCGTACATATGAGAGACTGAGTCAAGAAGCAGAGGAGGTGGATCAGCTTGACATGGCGCTTGCCCTTCAGGACCAGCGCACCATGTTAGCGTCACTCAAACTCGTCTCTCTGGCTCCCACTAGTGGCCCGGAGAAAAAGACTCGGACAGCAGGACAAAACATAAAGCCTGGCCTAGTCTCAAATGCTCAGCCGCCATGTGTGCAGGTGGAGACCATTGAGATGGAGCCTACGGCTGGCTGCTCGAAAGACAAGATTTCCAATGGGATTAACGGTCTAAAAGAAGAACGTTACGGGGAGCTCTACCAAACCACGGTAGAGACAACCAAAAGCCTGGCCGCAGCTCTCAACGTCCTGATCCACCTTAATTCTTCAGAAGCAGACTGTACAACCACTAATGCATCAGCTGGACTTACTAAACACAATGGGGAACTGCATGAAAAGGTGAAGATGAGAGAAGACGTCGGGCTCAGCTGTGATAAAATAGCTAGCGGAGTCAATGGCCAAAAGGAGGAGCTACAGCCTCAACAGCACCAGAAACTCATGGAACTTGGCAGGAGTTTGGCCTCTGCTCTCGGTGCATTAGGAGATGCTGTCAAAGGCAACGAGCCAATTAGCGGCGCGATACTAAACGGCAATGGCAGGCCCAGTCAGTCAGAAACTTTGGAGTCTGCAGATGTTGATGTGAAGGACGTTACATCGGCGGTTGATGGTGAGACTGGGGCTGTTGGGGGAATTCATGCTGGAGAAACCGCTTTAGATGTTCTTGCTCATGAGGCAACAGGTGAGTGTCGCCCAGTCATGTTGGAAGACATAGATAGGCAAGGTTTCTGTAACGGCTCTCATAGTATTGTAGATCACTTAATGGAATCGACCACCGAACACCATCAAAACCAAGAGTCCCAAGGTTCTTGGGAGTTTATTGGTCCATTAATTCCCCATAGGCCAGAGATCAGACACGATCACCATGCTTTCTTGATCCAGGAGGCCTCTGGATCACAAGCCCCATTGCTGCAGCAACCTATACATGCTCAGACTCTGACCGTCCAGAGAGACAATGCACTACCTATGATTGCATTAGATTTTGAAGACAGGGCTTTTGAGAGGAAACTCCAAAACCTTCAGTTGCTGCGCAACTTTATGCCACTTGCACTTAATGGACGGAAGGGGTCGTTTACAGAAGTTGTTCCTCATAGAAATCCACATTGCAAAATGGAGGACAAAGCTGTGGACACATCGGATTTGGATCAGGAGCCAATGGATGACCCAATGGGACTTGGCGAAATTGACTTTACGGCAGCTGCTCTTCTGTTCTGCTTGGAGGAGTCGCCACGAGCTCGGAGGATATCCGACACGGTCTATGCGTTTGGGGGCGCACGTGTTGACTTCGGCACCCAGACGTTTAGTTTCCCCGCTGCCATCTTGGCAACAAGTACGATGGTCGGCGAGGTTCCATCGGCTTCTGCTTGCGATGGAGCCGCACCACGCCTTTCACAACCGAGTCCATTTTGCACTCTACGGCTTGATCTGACGCTGGAGCAGCTTGTGCCTCGTCCAAGTTGGGCTCCACGCGAGGGCTCCATGTTTACCTTTGAGTGCGGCCAGCTCTTCCGTCGAGAAGAGTTCCTGTCACATTTTCGCAATGTTCATGGAGATATCCACTCTGGACTCAATGGCTGGATGGAGCACCGTTGTCCATTAGCGTATTATGGCTGCACATACTCCCAACGCAGATTCTGCCCATCCACTCAGGGCTCGAAGGTTGTTCACGACCGTCACCTCAGGTCCTTCGGGGTGCAACCCATCTCGGAACCTGTGACTGAACCCAAGTGCGATCACCTTAGTGGATTGCCGTTTGAAGTACTTCAACATGTAGCCCGATTTTTGGATGGCTTTAGCCTATGTCAGCTGTCAATGGTGTCCCGTACAATGAGGGATGTTTGTGCTAGTCTGCTGCAGACTCGTGGCATGGTGGTGGTACAATGGGAAAAAAAGCTATATTTGGATGGAAGACGAACCTGGCAGATAAAAGACAAGGTACAGTATGTCTAAAAGGTAGCAGCATGCTAATGTTAAACCAAGGGTGCATCTCAATCAGCTCCCGAGCTCATAAATCAGTATATTGTGTATACAAATCTGGTCATCATCATCATCTGGTATGGCCCCTTGCTCACTACACATGGGGACAGTGATTACTCAATTTCCAGTGACATGACTACGTACAATGTCAGCATGCATCATTGTAGAGTGTCACCGTAGTTATTAATCAACAACAGGCAGAACCCCTACCTTTTTGATATTATTTTTATGCTCTTTAAACACATTGTTCTATTGCAATGTACTATATATGTTCTATTATGTCCTTACAAAATTTCAGCCAAATACTAATTATAAATGTTAACTAGATGTGTTCACTACCTGTCTAGCTAGTGTGTTTATGCTGAAATATACAAAAAAAAAAGGTTTGTCTTTTCAAATCTTATATTGTGTCTCATATTTATTGCGTTGGCTCATGCATTTTGTTTCATGCTTCAGAAGTGTGACAATTTCTGGTAAAGGAGCATAGTGAGCATTGATGCTCCCTGTTTTTTTTTTTTTTTCTGTGCATTGTGGAATTTTTCAGGGAGTGAAAGTCACCGTGCACATGACTACTGAACTAGGGAGCTGATTGAGACACACCCCAAGTGTGCCCAACACATGTCCTGAAAAGTGAAGCCAAAACATTTTGATCGCCCCTAGTGGCTGGCTGTAGTATAGGTTATAAACCCTGGCCTTCATGTAAACTAATTGGACATTACCAAAAAATAAATAATTAAATTAATTAAACCATAAAATCCAATTACACTTCAAACTAATGTTTTCCCCAAAGATGGTTTCTGTGATTGTAGGTAGTTCTTATATATATATATATATATCTTTTTTTTTTCTTTTTCTTTTTTTTATGTGTTAAACAGTTTGTTTATTTCTTTCTGACTGTACTCTTTTTTCCAAACTCAGTGGACGAAACTATCTAAACAGATAACACGTTTACCATTAAATGATTGTTAAGCTGTTAGTCAAGTAACTGTTTTGTTTTCCGGCAGGTTTGGCGTTTCAGCACAGCCTTTAGCCCGGTTAACCGGTGGGAGTTTGCGGACATCTCTAGCATGGCAGACCACCTGAAACGTTGCCCATACAATGAAGTCCTCCGACAAGTGGAGGCGGTTCCACTGCCCTGCATGTGCACGACCAGAGAGCTAACGCGAGACGGCAGATCGCTTCGATCTGTTCTCAAACCAGTATCATAACGCTACAGAAACTTAGTTTGCAAAACATAACTAAAACACTACAATATCTAACCTCTTCGATCTACAATATAATATCACTGTAAATAAAAGGAAAATAAATATTTTTTGTTTTGATGCTAAGATTATTTTTTTAATATATCAAAGAATAATTTGGTCTAAAGGTGTGTGATGCTAATGGTTTCTCTTAGAAGAATGGTTTGGCTTCCTCTGACACAGCATGCTTTCTTTATCAAGACCAAGGACTGGTTTAAAGGAGAGTAAACATTGGTGAAACAAGGCTTAATTCAGTGGGATTATATGAGCCTCAACCTATAGCACTTTATTTATTTGTCTAGACACAGCAAGATAATCTCTGTAAAGATTATCAGGTAATGAGTTCTGGTTCCTGTCAGTACATATCCACACTATAGTATATTTGCATGGTTTGGTTAAGATACTTTTTGAAAAAGGACACCTTCTATGATTATTTTTGGATGATTCAGGCTTGCTCCATTTTATGGTGACCTCGCAGACAGGTGCACTTCACCCTGACCCGGGAACAGCTGTCATGCTTAAGAATTCAAGGGCTTGGATTTATATTGGGTTTCAGAGTAAGAGAGCTGTTCTTCCTATCACATTATCATAGGAAAGGAGGTTTCCATTAACAGCAGTTTTACAATTGCCACACTCTTAAAGACTTCATCCAGAAATGGCACCAATGGACTTGTCAAATGTATTTGTTTGGACGCTCTCGTTGTACTGAAGCGTACGCTCTAAAACACCTTGAACTATTTGAATTCATTCTCCAATACTATATCAATCAATATCAGCATGCCAACCATATATCAGCATTTAGAGTCAATATTTGCACTTTACTGAATTTTGTGGCTGTCTGCACTCTGATCCGCACTATCCTCACTAACCTGGAGTAAACAGATGCTCTGCTATTGTGTTTCCTATTGAGTGAGCAGGAAAAGCTTGGGTAATACTATATTTGAGTACAAAGAAGAGCTCTATAACTTGCATATATGTGATGTGTGACATGTCTTAACCTGTCTGCATTTAAATGAGTGCTGTGAGAATTTGTGAAGGCTAATATTTGAAGGTGTGATCTGCAGCTAGTGAACCACCACAGAAGTGTTTCTTTTAACCTTAACGGTTTATGGAAAGCTATGCAGCATTTACGAGTCAGGAGCTGTTTTAGGCTTCTCAAATTGTGTGTCACCCAATGTTGTGTTCATTTCCATGTAATCAAAATGAAGCGGTTTTTTTTGTGTGTGTGTGTAATTCAGTCCATATATTGTATTACTGAAGCCCTGTTATATGAAGTCTGTTTTCTGGTTATTAGGTTGTTGTTTATGATCTAAGCAGGTGAATTGCCAGTACAGCTGTTGATTGAGTTGCATGTGGTTTTTGACTTAAATGAATTAAAAATATCTATATATTTTATTATCTTTATTTTGGCTCAGTGTTCTTTTACTTATTTATTTTTAAATGTATGCTTACTCACTACATCCATACTTTAAACAGGTTTATACTACGGGAAATTGTGAGCTGCTTTCTCTGAGAATGTGTCGGGTCTCTAAGGTTATAATAAATCTTTATTAACATAAAAGTTGATACAAGACCTACTCCGAAGACCCTGGTATTTCTTGTCCATTACACAGTTTAACTCACAAGTGTGTACATTTACTAAAACAAACGAGAGATGTGGCCTTTTGTTGTAAATGATAAATATGGCTAAATTAAATTACAGTAGATAAGATATGTCAAGGTAGGAAGAGGGGAAAACAAATCAAATGTAAGGGGAGTGGTATTTATTTCTGTAGAGCAGAGCCATAATCCAGAGAATACGTTTCAATTAATGCTGATCAATGCAGCATACCCTTGCGTCTAACTGTGCCGAATGTGCACTTCTGGTGTACGGTTTATGGAAAGCTATGCAGCATTTACGAGTCAGGAGCTGTTTTAGGCTTCTCAAATTGTGTGTCACCCAATGTTGTGTGTTCATTTCCATGTAATCAAAATGAAGCGGTTTTTTTTGTGTGTGTGTGTAATTCAGTCCATATATTGTATTACTGAAGCCATGTTATATGAAGTCTGTTTTCTGGTTATTAGGTTGTTGTTTATGATCTAAGCAGGTGAATTGCCAGTACAGCTGTTGATTGAGTTGCATGTGGTTTTTGACTTAAATGAATTAAAAATATCTATATATTTTATTATCTTTATTTTGGCTCAGTGTTCTTTTACTTATTTATTTTTAAATGTATGCTTACTCACTACATCCATACTTTAAACAGGTTTATACTACGGGAAATTGTGAGCTGCTTTCTCTGAGAATGTGTCGGGTCTCTAAGGTTATAATAAATCTTTATTAACATAAAAGTTGATACAAGACCTACTCCGAAGACCCTGGTATTTCTTGTCCATTACACAGTTTAACTCACAAGTGTGTACATTTACTAAAACAAACGAGAGATGTGGCCTTTTGTTGTAAATGATAAATATGGCTAAATTAAATTACAGTAGATAAGATATGTCAAGGTAGGAAGAGGGGAAAACAAATCAAATGTAAGGGGAGTGGTATTTATTTCTGTAGAGCAGAGCCATAATCCAGAGAATTTGTTTCAATTAATGCTGATCAATGCAGCATACCCTTGCGTCTAACTGTGCCGAATGTGCACTTCTGGTGTACTTTAAATACTAAAAGAATATATTTTTTAAACAAACTGTACTTTTAGATAATATGACTTGACTTAATAGATAATATAATATTAATTAAATAAAACCACGTCAGTGTTCTAAAATAGACATGGAATTGAACTCTCATTAAGTATGCTTAAGTACTCTTAAAAGGTCCACTTTGTAATAATGTATTAAACACATTTAAAATCATTCATGTATTTATCATTTGTCACTTGTGCGTTAAAGAAGCAAAGTTTTGGTGTATTGACCCACAAACCAAATCAAATGTAATGGTCTTGATTTATAATTTTGTTATTTGATAGTACGCTAATGCATTTTAAATGTACTAAATTGCAACTTAATCATTACAGATGTGTGTGATTAGAAATATATGGAAAAATCTGCCAATAGAAATTTGATACAAATAATATTAAAGTATTTTTAAATGTACCATGCTTGTCAGTACATTCAGCAGTACACAACCATATTTCAAAAACAGCAAAATTATGAAATTACATATAAAGGCGTATTTAAGTATGCAAAAATGCACTCTCAAGTTCCAGTATCACATTTAATTTACATTTAAAGTATAATGCATTTTTTATTTGACTGTAAACATGCAAATACTATTTGTAGATTTGAATATTCTAGGCCAGAGTCACTCAAGTAGTGGGATAGAGTCACTCAAGTAGGCTACTAAAGAGTCCATACAAGGCTTTATAACTAAGTGGCAGTATTTTATAATCAATGTGCAACTTAACAGGTAGCCAGTGGAGATGATGTTAAAATTGAGCTGCACTCTTAAAAATAAAGGTGCTTCACGAAGCCATAGAAGAACCTTTTTGTCTAAATGGTTCCATAAAGAACCTTTAACATCTGAAGAACCTTTCTGTTTCACAAAAGCTTCTTTGTAGCGAAAGAAGGTTCTTCAGATTATAAAAAGATAAGAAAGAGATGGTTCTTTAAATAACCTTTGACTGAATGCTTCTTTGTGGAACCAAAAATGGGTCTTCTATGGCATCGCTTGAAGAACCTTTTGAAGCACCTTTATTTTTAAGAGTGTGGTGTGATCAGATTTTCTGGATTTGGTAAGGTTTTAAAAATGCATGAATAATAATTAGCCTATTATTGTTAGCCTATGCAAGTGAAATGGTTAGATGAACTGTAAAAGCATTGGATTACACAATGAATTTTATAATAACCTGTTCTCAATTTATAAACTTTGTAATTTATCACATCAACAATTATTATTATTATTAACTTTAGATATGAATGAATTATTTTTCATCCAACCACTTGATGGTAGTGTTTCATTAAGGCCAGAAAATTCTTTGGGTGGCGTGACAGATTAGAAATTGAATAATGGATAGACTGATTATTATAAAGACTGAATTTAGAAGCCCAAAATGTTGCTAAATAGGTCATTTTCATTTAAGATGGGTTTAAAAATTTCTTTATTTGTGTATTTGCTGAACGATAATCACACACATAAACACAGAAGAGGGCCTCCAAATGCAGTAGCCTCACTGCAGAACACAAGATCCAGGGGGCGTGGTTGGATCCAGATCTAGGGGGTGGAGATTGGTAAATTAAGGGGTGGAGATTAGGGCTGTCAAAAAAAATCGAATTTCGAATATTCGTCGAATTTTAAATAATTCGAATTTTAGGTGTGCGTTAAGGAGGCAGCCTTATCAGCGGCGCACGAGATGCGATGACGATGTAAGTGTCGTTGCATTATAATGTTTTTGTCAGCCTGTCCAGTTGAAGCCACTAGATGCGGCGCTGCTGCATTGTTCATTAAAAATATAGCGGAAAAAGAGAACATCAATGTGGAGAAGATCTTGTTTACATCAAAACCAAGCCGTTCACACAGAACGCATATTTCACGCATTTTCTAGATGGACATCTATCACTGTTGCACTCGTGTCTCACACAAAAGAGCCGCATGTTTAGAAAGCCATGTAAAATTAATGCAAGTTTAACTTCGCAAAAAACATATATCGAGACTTTATGGCGGGTTTTTCCCCATCCCACTGCGTGTCATGTTTTTAAATGAAAAAATGTTCTCTGTGTGATTAGCTTTCCACCCTTTGTATGATGCTGTTTTGTTTATAGTTGTTTAAGCAACTTAATTATAATTGGTTTATAAACATTATGCACTTTTTTTTCGCAGATAGTCATGTTATCTTATGCTTTGAATGATGGGCCCTCTTGTGGCCTCAGGAGAGAAGCCAAAAGCTTTTCTTCACCCTAACTGAAATTATGCTTTTTAAATTCGAATATAATTCGCATTTTGATCATATTTAAGTACAAAATTCGAATTTAGTTTTTCAGCCATTTTTCCAGCCCTAGTGGAGATGGGTGGGTTTAGGGGTGGAGATGGGTGGGTTTATGGGTGGAGATTGGTGGGTTTAGGGGTGGAGATGGGTGGGTATAGGGGTGGAGATGGTAGGTTTAGGGGTGGAGATGGGTAGGTTTAGGGGTGGAGAT